GAGAGAGAGAGAGAAAAGAAAAAAGAAGTCTCGTCTTCGATCTTCGACCGCCAATCTTCTTCCCACAGCGACGATTATTCGAACGATCGCTCGAACCGAACCGATATTGGTAAAATCACGCTTCTACGATTTTAACAGCTAAACTTTACCTGAATTCAAACTCGTGTCTCGTCGATCTTCGTTATCGTTTCCTCGATCGTCACCGTGATCGCCGCCGTCTTCGTCGTCTTCTTCGTCGTCTTCGTCGTCGTCGTCGTCGTCGTCGTCGTCGTCCTCCTCCTCTTCGTCACCATCCTCTTCCACTCGGCAAGATCCGTGTTTCCAGTTCATCCGACACTGATTTGCGAAACCGATCGAGTTTCCCTCGTTTCACTCACTCGCGCACTTCCCTCTTCTGATCGCCTCTGCTCGCCTCGTTTCGTCGCGCGAGAAAAAGCAGAGAGAGAGAGAGAGAGAAGAAAAATAGAGAGAGAGAGAGAGAGGAAGGAAGGAGAGAGCGAGTGAGCGGACGAGAGAGAGAGAAGAGAGAGAGAAAGAGAGAGGGAAAAAATGGGAGGAAACACCTGGACGAGAAAAGGGGGAAAAAAGTAGGAAAAAGAGAAAAAATAGGGAGACAGAGCGTTCTCCTGTTGGTGCACTCTCCGCTTATCGACGCGAGCCGCGCAAAGAATCGCACACTCCGCTCGGTGGTGTAGTAGACAGCGCGCCGATTCTTCCCACTTTCTCTCTCGTTTTCTTTCAAAGATGTCTCGGCCGACTGCGAGCACCGATCTCCGCGTGCATCGCTCCGACCGCACACTCGTTCGCGGTTCCACACACGACGACGCCAGGCCGAGGACGGGACACTGGTGTGGTCGTCGCCAGTCGTCACTCGAATCTCGCCTCCTCCGCGCGCGTCGTGGAAAAACGCGCGCTCGCCTCGCCTCGACGATTATTAAACTCGACTTCTCCGAACGCGAGAAGAATTTTCTTCTTCTTATTCCACCGCGAACCTCGTAGAAACGCGCGCGTAGAACACCGCGTGCGCGATGCGCGTCCACTCACTCGCGCAAGATTCACTCGCGGCCGCGCACCGATACTTTTCTCCCTTTTCCTTCCTTCCTTCCTTCCTTCCTTCCTTCGTTCGTTCGTTCGATCTCCGGTTCACGAACGGGCGAAGCGCGGATCATGAACGCGCGGAAAATGAACGGCTCGATCCGCGAGGAGCGAGGTTACCGCTTTCGAGTGGCAGCGAGTACCGAGAGTAGAGTAGTAGTTTTGAGGAAGCGGAGCTCCCGCAGGTTGGCGATGTTACGATTTTCAGTGCACTGAAATCCGCGCGGCACCGCGTCCGCAAGTGGGAGGGACTGGTTCGCACGTGACTCAGTGTGTCGTATTCTTTTCTTCCTCCTTCGAATAGGCTCCCGCATCCGTGGCGGCCCTTTTTCCGCCCGAAACGCGTCTCCTCCCGCCTTCCACGATCGTCTCTTCCTTCCTTCCTTCCTTCCTTCCTTCCTTCGCCACGATGATTCCTTCTTCCACCGACCTTCTTCCTTCAACCACGCGAGAGAACGAATCGTAAATCGTAATCACGTTCGATCCCGGGATTCGATCACTCGCGCCACGATTTTTCGTTCGTTCGTTCGTTTCGTTCGGTGGCGCGAAACGGTGCGAGGAGAAAGAGGAAGAGAGAGAGAGAGAGAAATCGAGAGAGGAAAGAAATGGTTTTTCTCCACCGCGTTACACCCCTGTATCCCTCCCCTCCCCCACCACCACCACCACCACCACCACCACCACCACCATCACCACGATCCAAAGCGAGAGAGGGATTTACGGGATACGCGTCGAAAGACGTCGTCACCACCAGTTTCGCACGTGCGTGTACGCGAATCGATCTCGCGAACGGATCTCGCGGGGAGAGAGAGGGAGAAAGAGAGGAGAGAGAGAGAGAGAGAGAGAGAGAGAGCGCGCGGTTGGTCGTTGGCCCAAGTTGCGTGCGATCTTTCTTCCCTGCTCGCCAGGATCTTCTTCTTCTCCTCCACGAGAGTAACGAGAGAACGAGAGCAGAGACGAGAGTGCTGCGGTGTGTGCCTCCTCTCCGCGGGAGAAGAAGAAGAAGAAGAAGAGATGCGTCCTGCCTCCCTCGTCCCCCGTCGTCCGCGCACCAGATTAATCGGATTTCTAGGTAAATCGAGCGATGGCGCGGTCCCCCATCCGTGCGGCGGGGGTCCGTTTTTCCTTCCTTCCTTCCTTCCTTCCTTCCACGGATGTG